GCATCAGGTGCTCCAGGCTTGTGTCGCCAAGGCTGCCACGTCCCCAAGTCTTGATCAGGTTCTGCTTCGAGAAGCCCCGCTCGCATTCAACCGTGCTCAATGGCAGCACGGCGACCGACTGCCACATGCTCATGATATTGGGGAAGGACACACGCCACACATCGTCCCGCATCATGTTCCCCAGCGACTGATGAAACTCCTCGTTGTTGTGCTAGGAGAACATTGTGGATGTAAACATCCACAGTTCATGGCCGGCCCTTTTGTAGTCGAACCCTGGCATGGGGCGGGTACGGGGTGTAAACTTGGGCGACGCGCGCATACACGGGTAGGAGTGGGGGGCATTAGTCCAACGAGCAGCAGTGAGCACCACGTGCACGTGTCACCAACGCGACAGATATGCAATTGACAAAACATTGGAACACAACTGCGTACTCCTATTATGGCTTACCAGGCAGCTTATGGTTGTGCAGCTTGTGCAGAAGGCCCAACCACTTTTTGAAGGTCTCCACGCGCTTGCTGTCATCAGACACGTACGAAGCTGTCCGAAACAACTTCGTTCCTTCCAGCAGGTTCAGGCCGCGCATCCGCCACTCCAGCTCGGCGTCCACGGCACGCACAAACTTGATCGACAGCTCCACGCACGCCGTCACGTCGCCATCAATTTCGTGTCCGGGCAGACGACGCTCGTGCAGCTCGTAGACAAAATAGACGGGATTCCCGTCTCCGTCTACACCCTCCGCCTTCATCTCTCTCTTATCCATTGCCTGATGCCTCTTAATGAATTCCGGCAGCTGCATTTTATCCCCGCTGCCGAAGTGGTGGGCTGGGTCATAGAGGGAGTACCTGGTCTTCAGACGCATCCTTGTTTGCTCCACGATGTGCGCAACCAGGGTGACGTCAACCTGCATACAGGCACTACAAGCAGTCAGTACGTGGTCGTGCATAGTTGCGGGAACCAAGATGCATGTGGCAAAAGCTATTACCTGGCGTTGCTGGAAGCGCTTGTTGAGGGCGTTGAGTTCCTACAGCACATCCGCAAGAAAGCGGATGAGCCAGTGGAACTTGAACGAGGTAACAGAACATCGTACGAGGTGGTTACCTGCACCACTACAGCTGCACCACTACTTGAACGAGGTAACCACCTGGTAACAGTCCTTCAGCACCACTACACCTGCAGGGAGAACATCGAGCAGGCGCTGTACCGCTTCACCACGGGAGAGCCATCGGACCTCGTGGATCCCCTGCGCCTCCAAATCGTCTGGCAGAAGATGCGTTGCAGCTCGTGGAACTTCTGGTAGTGCACGCTGCTGCGGCCGATGTGTTCAGCGAAGGCGCGCACGACGTTGTCGATCATGCGAAGCTCAGGGACAGCATATGCGGCATCACTGGCAACGAGTGCCTCCCTGTACATTATCACATAAATAGAATAACTTGTTAACAACTGCAACATATATAACAAACACTGCATCAATCAAACACAACACGTGTATACCGGTGGGCAATACAGTGTGTAGAGGCCAGGTGAGGAATGCGCATTCGCAGCCTTGTAACGACGCCCTTGTTCTTGCCGACCATCACGTTTGCACCATCGGAGGCAACGCTTGATATCTTCTGGAGGTCGACCCCGATCCCAGTGAGATACTGCACGACCGCGGATGTGAGGGAGGCAGCGTCAGCACGGTCAACAGTGATGAGAGTCAAAAACTCTGTAACCACAGATGTGCGCTTGAAGAAGGTAGCGTATAAGATCAAGTGCTTCCCATGCACCCGATCTGTGCTCTCGTCTAGGGAGATGCCTATCCACGGAGACTCGAGGAGGTGAAGGTGTTGTGTCTCTTGGAGATAAGTTGACAGGGCGCACAGATTCTCCTTGAATCCGTAACTGCCAACGATAAGAGATAGAGTAAAAGTGAGTGAGTGCTTATCAATCAAATAGAGAGGTGCACAAACACCAGCCAGCACTTACTCAGTGTAGTATGAGCTGTATCTGCCGGATGGAGGGAGGTCTGGTAACCCTTCTTTCGCCAAAAACCAGCACAGTGGGACAAACATGGCGATGGGAGCGTCCGCCGTGCAGACGAAGAGCGCTATGTGGAGTAGACGGATGATGTGTCGGGTAGAAGAATCCGTGATCTGCCACCTTGTGAGAGTGGCCTGCTTGGCTTCCTCCGCCTCCGATTTCTCCAGGTTATCCACTGCTTGCTTGTGGGCATGGGTAGCTGAGCGAGTGCGGATGCTGCCGATCTGGAGATCTTGAGCACCATCCCCCTTCGCCCCATACGATGTGTGCGTTTGCGGATCTCCGTGCTTAACACAAATGAAACACTTCAACGAAGGCCTGCCGTTAGACATGCGATGTATGCGTAACCATTTGAAACTACCTGCCCACCGAGAGTCAAAAGTCTTCTTTACCGATTCGTACTCTCCATCCGCCAAGGCGGCGGGAGGCTTGGGTTCGGCAGGAGATGCAGGCCGTTTATGAGTAGACGCATTTCAGGGAGGTGGGGCGCCCCAGAGTGTCTGCTGCTTGTACGTCGCTCCCACACGCTGTCGCTTGTCGGGCGCGCTGCTAACCGTCGAAGGCGAAGCAATTGGCGGCTTAGACGGACCCTCGCCACCTCCGGGCACAATATCCAGGGAAGGGTGTGGCTCCCACGCATGGGGTGAGTCTAATGGTTGGAACGGATACACCGTTCCTGCCTCGCATTATGGAGACGGTTCGCGAGGCGCCGACGAGATAGGAACGGTGTGGTTTACGTTAAGGCATGGCAAAACTCCCAGCATGGAAAGGCCGTTTCTCGTGCTACCAGGTGTATCAGCCTCTCCAGCAGGCATATTTGACGAATGAGTTGAAAATGGACGAGAATGGAGAACAAGCGAGAGACCCCCTCGTTGAGCTCGAACCTCACATGGCCTCTTCAGGGGGCCACCTGGTAGTGGGCGTGGTGTGGTTTGGCTCGATGCAGGGGTGCGTTGGCAGTCCTGTTGGTAAGACAGCCAATAAGGCCACACGGCGAGCCGCCAACAACATTTCACGGTTTCCCGCCTGTGGTCACCAGCGACAACGGTGCCAGTGTGAGAATGGGACATTTTGGCACCACGCGGAGAATGGGCTGATCCACGTTAAAAATAGTTTCGGTAACTGGGTAGTCGTCACACAACCCTGATTCCGCCAGGCTAACTAAAAATCCAATCAGAGGAAAAAAACACCAACACTTTTTGGGTAATGCTAAGAATCTATGAAGCCTGATTTAGAAAGGGTAACTCTGAAAAAGCGGCCCGCCCTCAGGGTAATCAAGGTATTTTACCCTGATATTTTGGGCCCTGTCTTGGATTTCCATAGTATGCGATATTTGTAACACCTTTCTTTCCGTTTGTTGTTATGCCACCTCGCCTCGCCTCTGCTGTATGTGTACAGCTATATGGATTTTTCAATTTATTACATGCGATTGATGTTGCTCCCTCTGAACGTGAAAATCCTGAAACTGGAACTTTCGTTTCGACAGCTAGCATTAAACATATCGAAAACGAATGTTGCATCAGAATACATGAATTAAACCTAACATAGCTTTAAGCATGTTGTTTCATTATGCGGAGATGGGCCCAATTCCTCTTCAAAGTTGAGATGCACCAAAATTATTTCAAGCAATCTAAAGGTGACTTGTGATAGTTCAGTGGTCCGTAACCAGGATCCTTATACAGCGTACGAGGATGTCCGCTTCAGGTGAAAGATAGTCCATTGCGGTCAACATCAGGAGGGTGGAACGTCCAATGACAGACCAATCCCATTTGAAGCATACCTGACATAAGCTCTAGGTTTAAAGCCCAATTCTCAAATTGCAAGCGGCGGGCATCAAGATTACTGATCTTGATGACCCAGGTGTTGCCCTGCGCCGCTTTCTACAAATACAGACTAGTCCCGATACTCTACTTGAAGAACCCTGTTCTGCAATATGGGACTTCAGCACAAACACAAGCTCAGAAGAAGACGCCAGTGCTTGAAACACCTTGCCAGCCCAAGTGCACTGCCATCAAGATTACTATTCTTGTGCAACTTGGGACTTGGGTTTTAAGATCTATCCCAACAGCACATACCTCTCGCGCCAGCGACGCAAGACAACATCTAAATCGCCAAAATTCAGTCCGTGCTCTTTTGCTTCGGAACAACCAAAGGACTGCGGAACTTAACTGAACCAGACGAAAATAATATGAAACGAACGGAACAAATAGGCAGAATGAACTGATATGAGAAATAACCAGTGCTTGTTACTTGCGAATTTAACTGACACGAAATGCGACCTTGAAATAGTAGCTTGATGTTCATCATGCTGGTGCTCGAGTTGAGCGGGAAAGACTTTTTACCAACTGCTCCCAACTTCATATTGCCGCGCATTCATACTCGTATTACGATCTAGTTTACATAGACGCTGGTCTGCGACGCGGGATCACAGGTGTCTCATAAGACTGTGCTCTTGCCTTAAACCGAGTTAATAACAGTGCCTACTGGCGACATGGCGAGTACTTAGGACAGGTCCAGTTGTGGCGTTCAATCCTTTCGCGTCCAGTTGTAACGTGTAATCCTGTCGCGTATCTTGACATTACGAACATGAGATGTTAGGAATAAAAGCTTCTCCTATATCAATTAATCTGCCTGACCACTAAGTCACTTCGCGACGTGGCGCTACTGAAAAAATAGTAAAATAGCACGAATAAACGGTCCTGTGGATATCCTTTAGAGCCGCCTCAGAAAAGAGCTAGTGATATTTTCGTGGTTGACCCAATAGCCCTGCTCGGTCGTCTCAGTCAACCTCCAAGCGCTCGTTCGTGTATCCCTATCAACCTCTGCCACGTGGCGTAGGTGGCAGAGCTGGCCTGGCGCAATCTGATTGGTCCTAGCGGCGTTCAGACGGGTGTGGGAATCCTTTCGTAAACAAGAGCTTGACTCATATCTTTGCGCGGATATATTGCGGAGGCCCCAGCCACGCCTCGGCTTGCCAGCCATGTTGGATCAGATCGTGAACCTGGTCATCCGTCCTCCTCGGTACGATTTGTCGTTTCTGGCTTCGATAAAATATTTACCCGTTATGAGCAGCCACGCTTTGGCTTGTCCGCCATGCTGGATCAAATCGTGAACCTTTTTATCGTCCTCCTCGCGACGGTGTGAAATATACTCATTAATAGAATCCGCTTGCCAGCTATGTTGGGTCAGATCCTGAATCTGGCTAACCGGCCTTCTTGGAACGGTATGGAAGGTGCCGTTGGGTCGAACGTGTCTCAGCTTCTACCCTCCCTCGCTCCCTCCTCCCTCCCCATTTTCCTCCGCCCACCACCCCGTTCCCCTCTACCTCCCACAGTGCGGAGTATTCACTAGAGACAGACCTGGTGGGGCCGCTCTTTGCACTCAAGGGAGTTTTGAGGCGCCTCAAAACCTTTCCCCCTTTCCCCCCCTTCCCCCCTCTCCCCCCTTTCGCACAGTGCGGAGTATTCAGTACAGGCAGACCTGGTGGGGCCGCTATTTGCGCTCAGAGGAAGGCAATACCGCCGCCATGACCTTCAGGTGCGACTGTGGTGCTACAGCAGCAAATTCATTAGTGATACTAGGTTAACTTTAGGGCTATCTATATTAGGAATACAATACGCTCCAGTCAGCCGTCAATATCTGAAAACCCCATGCCAGTGCGTTTCTTCCTATCCCATGCTTACCCTCCCCTCTCTCATCCCCCCCGTCCCCCGCCCCCCTTCTCCCCTCTCCTTCCGCTCCCAGCTTGCAAATACCCGAGGTTACGTGCTAGAATGCAGTCACTATCAGCAAACACCACCCCCTCCTCTCCCCCACCCTCCGTTTCCCACCCTTCACCTCTCATCCTTCTCCCACCCAGCTCTCCCCCCTCCCAGCTTGTGAACACCTGAGGCCACCTGCTAGAATCTAGCTCCTATTGGCAAACAACCCCCTTTCCTCTACCCCCCTCCCTCTACCCCCCTCCCTCTCCCCCCCTCCCTCTCCCCCCCCTCCCTCTCTCCCCCCCCCCCTCTACCCCCCTCCCTCTCCCCCCCTCCCTCTCCCCCCCTCCGTATCCCCCCCTCCCTCTACCCTTCTCCCCCTCTCCCCCTCCCTCTCCCCACCCCCCTCTCCCACCTTTCACCACTCATCCTTCCCCGACCTCTCTCTCCCCCTCTCAGCTTGTAAATAGCAGAGGCCACGTGCTAGAATGCAGTCACTACATGCCGGCCCATGTCCCGCCCAATCAGAAGCTGCCATGTGTCATCTACTGCCATGGGAACAGGTGTGGCTGCTTCTTGCTCCCTCTGTGTCGCTCTTTCTGCAGATCATGCCATCCTGATTTCCGTCCAAATTCTGCTGTCCAGATTTTGCCGTCCAAATGCTGTTGTAATAATCCTGCTACCCGGGTTTTGCCATCCAAATTCTGCCATCCAGGTTACTTACTATTATTTAGATTCTTCTTCTGCCAACCAGCCTCTCTCCCCCCACCTTATTTATCGCACCTTCTTCCGCTTTCTTTACCCAACACCACTTTTGAGTCGACTCAAAAGTCTCTCTTCCCCCACCTTATTTATCGCACCTTCTTCCGCTTTCTTTGCCCAACACCTCTGCCTCCCATGCTGACGCTAGTGAAGCAGTGTTTGGGCTGCTTCCTTCCAAGCCTCCCCGCCCTCTCCCCTTCCCCCACCCTCTCCTCCACACACTAATTCTCTTCCCCACACCAGTGGCTGCCGTGCCGACGCCAGTGAAGCGGTGTTTGTGCTGCTCCCATCCAACATCACAGTCTTTGCTCTCGACTTCTCGGGATCAGGAATGTCCCAAGGGGACTATGTCACCCTCGGGAGATTCGAGGTACGAAGAGAGACAGACCGGGAGGTGATGGGAGGTGTGCTGTAAAGCAAAGCCGTGTCTGTGCTGCTCCCTTCCAACATCACCGTCTTTGCTCTCGACTTCTCGGGATCAGGCATGTCCCAAGGGAATTATGTCACCCTGGGGAGATTCGAGGTACAAAGAGGGTGTTTTTGAGTGAGTGGTAAATGCGTATCATGTATCGTTTGAGGTCCAAGCCGTGTTTGTGCTTCCTTCTAACATCACCGTCTTTGCTCTCGACGTCTCGGGCTCGGGAATTTCCCAAGGGAATTATGTCACGCTGGGGAGATTCGAGGTACGAAGAGGGTGTTTTTGAGTGAGTGGTAAATGCGTATCATGTATCGTTTGAGGTCAAAGCAGTGTCCCGTCCAACATCACCGTCTTTGCTCTCGACTTCTCGGGATCAGGAATGTCCCAAGTGGACTAAGTCACGCTGGGGAGATTCGAGGTACGTGGGTACATGTATGCAAAGGCTGCACAGGACTCAGAGCCGTGTTTGTACTGCCCCCTCCCGTCGAACATCACCATCTTTGCTCTCGACTTCTCGGGATCCGGCATGTCTCAAGGGGACTACGTCACGCTGGGGAGGTTCGAGGTACGAAGGGGGACAGAGTGTGTGTGGAATGATTCGCAGTTTGTTGTGCTGTGCTGTGATGGGAAGCCAAAGAGCAAAGCCGTGATTGTGCTCCTCCCGTCCAACATTGCCGTCTTTGCTCTCGAATTCTCGGGATCAGGCATGTCCCAAGGGAATAATGTCACGCTGGGGAGATTCGAGGTACGTTGCTACGTATGCAAGAAGGGTCCATTATATGTATCCTGCGAGAGATGCTAGAACAATGGTGGACCATCTACGAGCCGAGGGCTCTGTGTCGCGCTTCTCACACTCATCTGTTCTTGCTGCCACTCCCTGCTGCTCTGCTGCCTTTATTCCCTTGTCCCAACTCGCCACGTGCTCAGATGTGGGACATTTTAACAGTCGTGGACCATTTACGAGCAGAAGGCTCTCTGTCGCTTTCCTCCTCTCATTCGTGATCCTGCTCTGCTGCTCTGCTTTTCCTCTCCCCACTCCCTCCCCTCCCCTCCCCACCCCTCAACCGGAGGACCTCTCAACAGTGGTGGACCATCTACGTACGTAGGGCTCTGTGTCGCCCTTGCTTGTTGCTCATCCCACCCTCATCTGCTCTTACTGCTCTTGTTGCTTCCCACCTTTCCCCCCCCCCACTTCCCTTTCAGATGGAGGATCTCTCAACAGTGGTGGACCATCTACGAGCCGAGGGCTCTGTGTCGCTCCCCTCACGTTCCTGCTGCTGCTCTGCTTCTCTGCTGCTCCTCTCTGCTTCCCTCCCCCCCCCTCTCCCTTTCAGATGGAGGATCTCTCAACAGTGGTGGACCATCTACGAGCCGAGGGCTCTGTGTCGCTCATAGGGCTGTGGGGGCGGTCGATGGGGGCTGTTACCTCGTGAGTGGCGAGGGAGGGAGAAGAGGGGAGTGGTTAAGGGGCAAAGGGCAACGACTAGTGGTGCTGCAAGCATACAAGACAGTAGGAAGCAGAGAGGGGAGTAGCAGAGGGCTCTGTGTCGCTGATAGGGCTGTGGGGGCGGTCCATGGGTGCTGTTACTTCGTGAGTGGTGGGGATGGGAAGAGTGGGAGGGGAGAAATGAGCACAGGGTAGGGGGGAGGCAGGGAAGTGAGTTGTGGAGGGCTCTGTGTCGCTCATAGGCCTGAAGGGGCAAGGGGATGATGGAGGAAAGTATGTTTTGTTTTGAAGACGACCCACACACCTGTGTCGGCTCGGCTCGGGCTAGGGGTGGTTTTGAGACGTCTCAAAACTCTCTCATAGGTCTGAGGGGGCGAGGGGGATGATGGAGGAGAGGAAGGAGAGGGGGTAGAGGGAGGAGAGGGGGGATTCGTCTATAGCGGGGATGGTGCCGAAGCGCCTGTTATAAGTGCTGTCGTCTCTCCCCTCCCCATCCCCCTCTTTTTTCCCTCTTTTCTTCCTATTGATTTTTCCACATACATTCTCCAGCCTTATGTACGCAGCAAAGGATCTGTCTATAGCGGGGATGGTCCTGGACAGCCCGTTTTCCAACCTGCCCAACCTCATTCTGGAGCTCGTGGACACCTTCAAAATCAAGCTGCCCAAATTCACGGTCAGCTGGAAAAAAATTGCTTGTTGAGTTCACGGTGTTGTTTGTTTGTTTATTATTTGTTTAAAAGGCAATTTTTTGCTTCTTGAGGTGCCCTTGCAAAGATGCATAGTGAGGTGCCACTAAGTGGGGTGCCACTAAGTGAGGTGCCACTAAGTGAGGTGACCATACGTTGGGTGATGTGACCAACTCGAGTCACTGAAGCGATAGTGAGGTGCCACTGAAGTTGTTGACCTAGACTGACTTTGACATCAACAACTTGAGAGGCACGGAGCAGCCTTTTGAGTTGACTCAAAAGTCAACTGGAGTCACTGAAGTGTTAGTGCGGTGCCACTGAAGTTGATGAGGTCAACAACTTATGGTCACCTAGACTGACTTTGACATCAACAACTTGAGAGGCACGGAGCAGCCTTTTGAGGCGCCTGAAAAGTTGTTAGTGAGGTGCCACTGAAGTTGTTGACGCAGACTGACTTAGACCTCAACAACTCCAGAGGCACGGAGCAGCCGCATCCCCTCTTGGGGCTGCTGTGCTGCTGCTGTGTGACTGGCATGGCATCCTTCCACCCACAGGTGAAGATGCTTGTGTATTACCTGAGGAACTTGATCAAGAAGAAGATTCCAGATTTCGACATCAATGATCTAGATGCTGTGGGAGTGGCGAGGAGCAGCTTCATCCCTGCCTTGTCTTTACCCCCTTCCCTCCCCTGCCTTGTCTTTACCCCCTTCGCTCCCCTCTACCACCACAGGTGAAGATGCTGGTGTACTATTTGAGGAATCTGATCAAGAGGAAGATTCCTGATTTCGACATCAACCACCTGGATGCCGTGGGAGTGGCGAGGAGCAGCTTCATTCCATCCCCTCTTGGTGCCTTGCGCTTACCCTCTTCCACACACACAGGTGAAGATGCTGGTGTATTACCTGCGGAATCTGATCAAGAAGAAGGTACCGGACTTCGATATCAACGACCTGGATGCCGTGGGGGTGGCGAAGAGCAGTTTCATCCCGGTGCTGTTTGGGCATGCTTCGGGAGACACTTTCATTCTGCCGCACCACTCGCAGCAAATACACGAGGCGTACGCGGTGGGTATGGCATATGGCAAGGTCAAATGCGGCTGTATGTGGTCAGGTGCGGTGCAGTCATGTGCTGTACTGTGTAGTGAGAAGCAGCTGTTTCATCCCGGTGCTGTTCGGGCATGCCTCGGGAGACACCTTCATTCTGCCGCACCACTCGCAGCAAATAGACGAAGCTTACGCGGTGGGTACCTGGGCATGTGGTAAGGTCAGCTGCGGTTGTATGTGGTGAAAAGCAGCGTCTTCATCCTTCACTGCTGTTTGGGCATGCCTCGGGAGACACCTTCATTCTGCCGCACCACTCGCAGCAAATGCACGAGGCCTACACGGTGGGTGCTTCTTATCCATGCAGTGAGCTCAGAGCGGTCGTACGCGGTCTTATGCGGTTGTATACGGTAGTGTGTCGTAAGGAGCAGTTTCATCCCGGTGCTGATTGGGCATGCTTTGGGAGACGCCTTCATTCTGCCGCACCACTCGCAGCAAATACACGAGGCTTACGCGGTGGATATGGCATGTGGCAAGGTCAGGTGCAATGGTGTGGGATTGTAGGCGGTCGTATGAATTGAGAAGCAGCTTCATGCTGTCATTGTTGTTTGGGCATGTCATTGTCATTGTTGTCATTGGCGGTGTTCGCCAGCAGCTTTGAAAGCAAAAACGACGGGTTAACGACGGGATCAGGAAGGTCAGTCTCGCCTTCCTGATCCCGTCAGTTAGGGTTCGTTAAGCTCCGTCAGGCTGGTCAGCCCGTAAAAATGCTGCCGAGCCTCTCATGCCGTCCGAACCAAATGGAATGGTGCCTGGCGAACGCCTTCACTTTTCTCAAATTTCGGACGGCATCATGGCATTCGGAAATGAGGAAGTAATTTCCTCCCCGGGCAAACGAGAGTCCCATGCCATCCCATGGCAATCCATCATTTCACGGAGGATTGCAGTGGGATGGCGACGTCATTGGCTGTTTGGGCCATTTGGGGGGAAGGTGGGGAGGCAGGTTCCATATGCGGTTGTCACGTTTCCCATTTCGGGGCGGGAAATTTCGCGAGTGGCATTTCGCCCAACCCTCCTCGAAGGGTTCCGGCCCCGCTTCCCGATGCCGTGGCCATTCCGATGCCGTCATTTTTTTTTTTCAAAATTGCATGTGCTGGCGAACTCCGCCATTGTGATCACAACTCCCACTGCCCCAACTTCGTTCATCTCCTCTCTCCCATCTCACCACTGCACTTCCCTGTCTACTCTCCCCTCAATTCCCCTCCGTCCCCCACATGCAGGGTGACAAGAACCTCATTACCTTCGCGGGGGACCACAACTCCCACCGCCCCAACTTCTTCCATTCGGCCCTCTCCCCTTCCCACCCTGCCTCGCTTCGTTCCCCTCCCTCCTTCGCTCCCTTCCCCCACACGCAGGGTGACAAGAATCTGATCACCTTCGCGAGGGACCACAACTCCCACCGCCCCAACTTCTTCCATTCGGCCCTCTCCCCTTCCCACCCTGCCTCGCTTCGTTCCCCTCCCTCCTTCGCTCCCTTCCCCCACACGCAGGGTGACAAGAATCTGATCACCTTCGCGGGGGACCACAACTCCCACCGCCCCAACTTCTTCTACGACTCGGCTGCCATATTCCTGCACAACGTGCTGCAGCCGCCCCCCATACAGGAACCCCCCGCCACCTCCCTTTATTGTCACATCCCTGGGGAGTCTGATGCGCAACAACCAGTGCCGCGTGCTGGTGCTTCTGGTTGTGGTTCTGCTGCTGCTGGTGGTGCTGCTATTGGTGGTGCTGCTGCTGCTGGTGCTGGCCGGAGCACAAGGGCAGATGCCCCTCCAAGTGCTGCCGAGTTGAACCCTCCACACACCACCTACCAGCGCCCTCCCCCAGTTGCTGAGGTATGTTGGCTTGTGCGAGTCAATGCAAGTCAACACAAGTCAATGCAAGTCAACGCAAGTCAATGCAAGTCAACACAAGTCAACGCAAGTCAACGCAAGTCAGTGCTGGTAGTGGTGCTGGTAGTGGTGCTGCCAGGAGTACAAGAGCCGATGTCCCTCCGAGCGCTGCCGAGTTGAACCCTCCACTCACCACCTACCAGCGCCCACCCCCAGTTACTGAGGTATGCAATCAACCTGGTGTTGCTTCTGTGAGTGCAACTTCCCCGTCACACACAGCCCTGCCCTCCCCGCCCTGAATGCCTCCCTGCCTCCTCTCCCCTCCTCACTGTCAAGTTCTCGGTGCAGTCACTAGATGAGCTGCTGAGCAGAGAGGAATTGGCGCGCTTCATGGCACAGTTTGCCTTCGCCCTCACACACAGCAATTCCCTGCCCGCCCTCCCTGTCCTCCCTGCCTCCTCTCCCCTCCCCACCGGCATGTTCTCGGTGCAGTCACCAGACGAGCTACTGAGCAGTGAGGAGTTGGCGTGCTTCATGGCTCAGTTTGCTGCCTCTGGTGTTTGCGTTCCCTCTCACTCACAGCCCGCTCCCCCTCTCTGCCTCTTCCCCATGCCTCTCAGCCTCTCCTCCCCCGCCCTCATCTCCTCTCTTGTGCAGCCTGCAGACGGTCTACTGAGCAGTGAGGACTTGGTGCGCTTCATGGCACAGTTTGCTCTCCCACACACATAGCCCTACCCTTCGGTTCCTCTGCCTCTCTCAGCCTCTCCTCCCCCGCCCTCATCTCCTCTCTTGTGCAACCTGCAGATGGTCTTAGGAGTCGGCGCACTTCATGGCACAGTTTGCCTTCCCCCTCACACACAGCACTGCCCTCCCCGCCCTGCCTGCCCTCCCTGCCTCCTCTCCCCTCCGCACCAACATGTTCTCTCCCTCTCCCCTCCCCACCGTCAAGTTCTCGGTGCAGTCACCAGACGAGCTACTGAGCAGTGAGGAGTTGGCGCGCTTCATGGCTCTCTCAGTTTGGTGCCTCCGTGGGAGGGATTTGTGTTCTCCCTCACACACACCCCTGCCCTTCCTCTCCTCCCCTCCTTTGCTCTCCCCTCCCCTACTTCTCTTCCTGTGTGTAGTCACCAGACGAGCTACTGAGCAGTGAGGAGTTGGTGCGCTTCATGGCACAGTTTGCTTGCTCACTTGGAATTTCCCCCCTCACACACCCTAACTTTCGTTTTCTCTGCCTCTCCCTCTCTGCCTCTCTGCCTCTCCCCCTTTCCCCCGTTGTTCTTGTGCATAGCCTGCTGAGGAGCTACTGAGCAGTGAGGAGTTGGCGCGCTTCATGGCACAGTTTGCTGCCTCCATGCCACCTGGAGAAGAGGTGAGAGGAGTGAGAAGAGGAGAGAGAGGAGAAGAGTTGAGGGATGGAACGAGAGGGGAGGGGTGAAATAGGAAGTGAGAGCGAGGACAAGATGTTGGCAACGAGGTTTTGAGTGAACGAGAGCTTAGCTTCGGGGTGACTCAAAACATTACCGGTAGTGTTTGTGGCAATCTAAGAATTTTCTAAGAGTTTTGCCCTTGAGGGGAAATTTGAAGCTGGGAGAACAGCTAGTAGTGGCATTCTTCACTTCTGTACTGAATGTTTTTTACATCTTGTTGTCTCCTTCTGAAGCATGTCAGAGGTGCTGTTTTTGTAACATCCAACAGTCTTTTCCCAGTACTGAAATATCGTTTTACAACACCCCACCTTTCCTTACCCTAAATCGTTTCAGCTTGCTCCCGGATTGGAAGCCAACTATGATGAGGATGAGGTGAGCAGATGACAGTCATGTTACCGTAATATGCATGTTGATCCCCTAATCACCCTCGCTTGCTCTTGGATTGGAAGCCGACTATGATGAGGATGAGGTGAGCAGATGACTTTCATATTACCGTAATATGCATGGCGATCCCGTATACACCTCGCCGTTTCACCTCCTTCAACCTGCCCTTCATCAATAATCTCCCTTCCATCTGGTTTTGTTGGGCGGTAGGATGTCACGATTTTCCGTCTTTTTTATTTATATATTTTATCTCATCTACTCGGAAATGTGTTCCGTCCTCCTTCCACCACCACACCTTTCTTCCCCTACCCCCCCTTATAATACAATCCCCCAATAATCACTGCTAACAGAAAAGGGGTAATTATGTCTCGATACTCCCACGTCTCACCCCATTCCACCTTTCTCCCATCCCGTAATTTGTTGCTTCGTGCTGTGCAGATGCTTCAACAAGCCATTGCCCTTTCCTTGCTTGATGTACCGGTACAAGATCAACAAGGGGGGTCCAGTGCTCATGCAACGAACGCTAGTAGATGATGACCGTTATCGTGCCTGGTGGGTCGATAGCATGAATGGATGTACGTAGTTCTGTACAGTATCGCATTCTTATATTTACAGAAATTATCAGTAAAAGAAGGATAGGCGTTGCTCTCAGATGCTTGTCTGGTTCCTTCACATGTTTTAAGCGTGTATGGCGAATGCCTATTATTTGTTATATGCGCTTTCTCTGTAGCGAAGATCCTTCTTGATTGACCTTGTTACATGCACAAACTCTCCTCAAATAGGGCGCGAACGTTAAATCAAAACGGGTTTCTGGGAAGGATCTGTCGCAACCGTGTCGCACATTCCACTGATCCGAACTGCGTATTCAGTTACAGAATGTGGCTCCGGGTTCTTGGTTAGCGAGTGTTTGGCGATGGAAGTAACATGTGATTCTCGAAACAATGTGTTCGACTCGCACTTGAGACTGTCAGAAAAACCACATCCTCAACATCTGCTTTATTTTGCAGTCGCTGAAGGGACCTTGAGGACGCATCCCCTCCCTCGATCGAACCTGCGTAGGTTCGAAGTTTTGCATGCTACAGTTATTCTCTGGGATACCATATTTCGACACAGTTAACGAATCTACAGTAACGGGTGCTCCACGAACCTGTCACCTTCCCCCAATCGCGATTGTTGCATCATCATCCATCCACACACCGATTTTGCGTGAGCTCCAAGCTCGCGCGCAAAGTGACAGCCAAGATCGATCGCCGTCGTCCAGTTTGCAGGGTTACCTGGATCATCTCATGTTTTTCTCGCAAATCAGCTAGGCGACAGCGCGGCATATATTCGCCCAAACCTGTCCCCTGACGCAATACCGAGCCTGTCACCCAGGGCTCGAAACCAACCTGCGATCGGTGTTCTGCTGTCACCTTCACCCAAGCGCGCCCCAAACCTGCGATCGGTGTGCCCGATCGTTTTTTCCTAGCGATCCTGCGATCGATCGAGGGAGGGGACGCGTCCTGAACGTTGTTTTCTTGTTGTTATTGAACTGACTGATGTGATTTTTCACAGTGTCAGCCTCGAGCCGCCTCACCATTTGGTTCGTCTCCGTCGGTCTTTCGCCAGGGCAGTGCTTGCGGAAAGCCATCACCGAATCAGAGATCCTCGCTATTGTGGTCCCGCTGTAGGCGATTCAGCCTCGAGCCTCTCCAGTCGTCTCATCTCCGTCGGTCTTCTTCGCCAGGGCTGTGTCTGCGGAAAGCCATTACAAGCATTAAAGAATTCGATTCTCGTTATAGTGGTCTTCGTTGTAGGCGATTCTTCTCCGGTGCAGCCTCGAAACTCTCCTCTCGTCTCCGTGTGTCTCCTTCGCCAGGGCTGTGCCTGCGAAAAGCGATCACTTGATTTATAGGATTCAATTGTCGCTATAGTGGTCTTCGCTGTAGGAGTGTCTGCTGTTGTTTTATTCGCTTTAAAAACGCATTCGCTGTAATTTCCTAGATTTAGAATTCACGCTGTAGAGCTCTTCGCTAGGTCGCTGCGAAAGCTCCGTCAGCATGGTGGGCGGGCCGGTGGTGAACATATACCCGTTAGAGAACTACTCGTTTGGCGTGAAGGAGCCCAAGATCGAAAAGGACACGTCTGTCGCGGATCGACTGGCGCGCATGAAACACAAGTGAGTGAGGGAGAAGGAGAGGGGGGAGGGAAGGAGGGGAAGGGGGGGGGGAGGGGTGGGGGGGAGGAGAGGAGGAGGAGGGGGAGAGGAGGAGGGGGGAATGAGAGAGTGGGGAACCTAAGGGGAGGGCACGGACACGCCCGTGGCGGACCGCCTGGCGCGGATGAAACACAAGTGAGTGAGGGGCGGGCGGAAGGGGGTAGGGGGAAACGAGAGAGTAGGGAACGTAGTTGTGGGGGCGAGGGCACGGACACGTCCGTGGCGGGTCGTCTGGCGTGGATGAAACACAAGTGAGGGGGAAGGGGGAAGGGGGAAAGGAGGAATGGGGGAAAGGAGGGCGGGGATGGGGGGTGGGAAAATGGTGAAGAATGTGGGGGAGGAAAGGGGGGGTGGGTGGGGGGGAGGGGGCAGGGAATGGGGGGCGATGGGGGAGGAGGTAGGATGGGGGGAGTTGGAGGGAACGAGAGAGTAGGGAAGAAGGGCGGAGGGAAGGCGAGTCAATGGCGGGCTGACTGGCGCGGATGAATTGCAAGTGAGAGAGAAGGGGGGGGGGGGTGGGAATGGGGAAGTGAGGAGGTGGGAGGAAGGGGGAAAGGCTGGGAACTGGGGGGCCGGAGACAAGCGGAAAGGTGGGGGGAGGGGGGAAGAAGGGTCCGGACTGGCTGGCGCGGATGAAACACAAGTGAGGAGGGGGGTGGAGGAGGGAGGGGGAGGGGAAAGGGGGATTGTTGGGAAGAAAGAGCGGGGGGGTGGATGGGGAATGTGAGAACAGGGGATCGTGGGAACGGGGAAGAAGGACAGGTAAATGGCTTTTGAGACGTCTCAAATGTGAGAACAGGGGATCGTGGGAACGGGGAAGAAGGACAGGTAAATGGCTTTTGAGACGTCTCAAATGTGAGAACAGGGGATAGTGGGAACGGGGAAGAAGGACAGGTAAATGGCTTTTGAGACGTCTCAAATGTGAGAACAGGGGATCGTGGGAACGGGGAAGAAGGACAGGTAAATGGCTTTTGAGACGTCTCAAATGTGAGAACAGGGGATCGTGGGAACGGGGAAGAAGGACAGGTAAATGGCTTTTGAGACGTCTCAAATGTGAGAACAGGGGATCGTGGGAACGGGGAAGAAGGACAGGTAAATGGCTTTTGAGACGTCTCAAATGTGAGAACAGGGGATCGTGGGAACGGGGAAGAAGGACAGGTAAATGGCTTTTGAGACGTCTCAAATGTGAGAACAGGGGATAGTGGGAACGGGGAAGAAGGACAGGTAAATGGCTTTTGAGACGTCTCAAATGTGAGAACAGGGGATCGTGGGAACGGGGAAGAAGGACAGGTAAATGGCTTTTGAGACGTCTCAAATGTGAGAACAGGGGATAGTGGGAACGGGGAAGAAGGACAGGTAAATGGCTTTTGAGACGTCTCAAATGTGAGAACAGGGGATAGTGGGAACGGGGAAGAAGGACAGGTAAATGGCTTTTGAGACGTCTCAAATGTGAGAACAGGGGATCGTGGGAACGGGGAAGAAGGACAGGTAAATGGCTTTTGAGACGTCTCAAATGTGAGAACAGGGGATAGTGGGAACGGGGAAGAAGGACAGGTAAATGGCTTTTGAGACGTCTCAAATGTGAGAACAGGGGATCGTGGGAACGGGGAAGAAGGACAGGTAAATGGCTTTTGAGACGTCTCAAATGTGAGAACAGGGGATCGTGGGAACGGGGAAGAAGGACAGGTAAATGGCTTTTGAGACGTCTCAAATGTGAGAACAGGGGATAGTGGGAACGGGGAAGAAGGACAGGTAAATGGCTTTTGAGACGTCTCAAATGTGAGAACAGGGGATCGTGGGAACGGGGAAGAAGGACAGGTAAATGGCTTTTGAGACGTCTCAAATGTGAGAACAGGGGATCGTGGGAACGGGGAAGAAGGACAGGTAAATGGCTTTTGAGACGTCTCAAATGTGAGAACAGGGGATAGTGGGAACGGGGAAGAAGGACAGGTAAATGGCTTTTGAGACGTCTCAAATGTGAGAACAGGGGATCGTGGGAACGGGGAAGAAGGACAGGTAAATGGCTTTTGAGACGTCTCAAATGTGAGAACAGGGGATAGTGGGAACGGGGAAGAAGGACAGGTAAATGGCTTTTGAGACGTCTCAAATGTGAGAACAGGGGATAGTGGGAACGGGGAAGAAGGACAGGTAAATGGCTTTTGAGACGTCTCAAATGTGAGAACAGGGGATCGTGGGAACGGGGAAGAAGGACAGGTAAATGGCTTTTGAGACGTCTCAAATGTGAGAACAGGGGATAGTGGGAACGGGGAAGAAGGACAGGTAAATGGCTTTTGAGACGTCTCAAATGTGAGAACAGGGGATCGTGGGAACGGGGAAGAAGGACAGGTAAATGGCTTTTGAGACGTCTCAAATGTGAGAACAGGGGATCGTGGGAACGGGGAAGAAGGACAGGTAAATGGCTTTTGAGACGTCTCAAATGTGAGAACAGGGGATAGTGGGAACGGGGAAGAAGGACAGGTAAATGGCTTTTGAGACGTCTCAAATGTGAGAACAGGGGATCGTGGGAACGGGGAAGAAGGACAGGTAAATGGCTTTTGAGACGTCTCAAATGTGAGAACAGGGGATCGTGGGAACGGGGAAGAAGGACAGGTAAATGGCTTTTGAGACGTCTCAAATGTGAGAACAGGGGATAGTGGGAACGGGGAAGAAGGACAGGTAAATGGCTTTTGAGACGTCTCAAATGTGAGAACAGGGGATCGTGGGAACGGGGAAGAAGGACAGGTAAATGGCTTTTGAGACGTCTCAAATGTGAGAACAGGGGATCGTGGGAACGGGGAAGAAGGACAGGTAAATGGCTTTTGAGACGTCTCAAATGTGAGAACAGGGGATAGTGGGAACGGGGAAGAAGGACAGGTAAATGGCGTACTGACTGGCGTGGCTGAAAGACAAGTGAGGGGAATCTGGGGAAGAATGGGTGAGAGGAGGTGGGTGGGAGGAGGGGGAGCGAGGCAGGGTAGGGGCAGAAGGGAAACGGCACAACCGCAGTTGACTGGCTGGGGCGGAATCATGGGGAAGGGGAAGGGTTTGGGGAAGCGGGGGAGGGGGAATGGGGAAGCATGGGGGGGTGAGGGGAGGGGAGGGAACACAGGGAGGGGAAGGACACGTCAGTGGCGGACCCACTTTTTGAGGCGCCTCCAAGACCCACTAACGCGTATGAAACTTATGAAACACAGGTGAGGGGGAAAGGGAGTGAGGGACAGGGGGAGCGGGCGGGGTAAGGAAGGAAGCTAAGGCGGACCAACCTGAAGTAGCCCCCCCAGGACAACCTAAGTAGCCCCCCCAGGACAACCTAAGTAGCCCCCCCAGTACAACCTAAGTAGCCCCCCCAGGACAACCTAAGTAGCCCCCCCAGGACAACCTAAGTAGCCCCCCCAGGACAACCTAAGTAGCCCCCCCAGGACAACCTAAGTAGCCCCCCCAGTACAACCTAAGTAGCCCCCCCAGGACAACCTAAGTAGCCCCCCCAGGACAACCTAAGTAGCCCCCCCAGGACAACCTAAGTAGCCCCCCCAGGACAACCTAAGTAGCCCCCCCCCCAGGTCAACCTTCCCCAGCACAATCTTGATCCAGGTCAACCTTCACCAGCACTTGGTGATAAGAAGCTGAGTTTTGAAACGTCTCAAAACCCGAAGTAGCCTCGAGGTTTTTTTTTTTTTTTTTTCTATATAAAATCCGTAAAAGTTGAGTTAATGGCCTCCCCAGTACAGTACAACCTGCACCAGCAAGCACTTCGAGATAGAAGTTGAGTTTTGCAACGCCTGCTTTTTGAAACGCCTCAAAAGTAGACTTTGAGGTAGAAGTTGAGTTCTGAGACGTCTCAAAACCCTAGGTAGCCTCAAAAGACGTCGGTGGTGCACCACCATTACAGCCTCATGATCCATGGCCTCATGCTTGCCGCATTGATTCCTTCCACCAGCTATCAGAAGGAGGGCATGAGAACAAGCGTGGAGGGGATCATTCTAGTGCATCACCACAACCACCCGCACATCCTGCTGCTGCAGATCGGAAACTCTTTCTTCAAGCTGCCCGGAGGGAGGTTGAAACCGGGGGAAGACGGTATGTGACCACAACTTCGTTTACTTGTGTTTTTTCCTTCTTTTGTTCCACGGGAAAATGTATGATCAGGTGTTTTTTTGGCGAGGCGAGGTCTTTCTGTGATCAGGTACTTGGCGAGGTGCCTCGAGAGATTGTTATGAACACCAAGTGTAAACAGAGTTGTTTTGAGAATTCTCAAAAACTCCCTTTAATCAGGTACTTGGTGTTCATAATAATCTCTCGGGTACTTGAGAGGTGCCACTAGAGCTTATTATGAACACCAAGTGTCTACCAAGTACCAAGTACCAAGTACCTGATCACAGAAAGACACGACGCATAATATATGTTGTTGTAGACACAACACGAGTCACGACGACACATGCCATGCCACATGCGCACGAATGCAAACCCTGTAATGTGGATTTTTTTTAGGCACCTCAAGAATACTTGGGAGGTAGTGTGGGGGCAAACGCCTGTCATGTGCTTCATTCATGCGTGCATCAGCGTGCTTCATGCATTCTTCCATGCATGCATGCATCTATATATGTGCTCTGCACGCACACCCCACCCCCACTCAATCCCTGTCGCACCACATATATCATACCCATGCCTACTCATCTCCCCCCATCCCATTCCTCTCAGAGGTGGAGGGGCTAAAAAGCGCACGCTCACAGCAAGCTGGGTCCCTGCTGCCATAGCCACGTGCTTTGTTCACTCATACCCATACTCACCCCTCCCCACCACATCCCACTACTTCTGCACCCCGCCAGAGGTGGAGGGGCTGAAGCGCAAGCTCACCAGCAAGCTGGGTCCGTCCGTGTCCATTCTGCCCGTGCCTGAATGGCAGGTGAGGAGGTAGGGGGGTTAGGTTCGGCAGGCGGGCTCGGAAGGCAGGGTAGAGCATTTTTGGCAAGTAGAGACGTGGGCGTTCGTGTCCCGTAGGGATAGGATAATAAATGCTGGGCTGTTTGTGTCCCATATGAATAATAAATGCTGGGCTGTTCGTGTCCCGTCTGCCCTCCTTTCTTCCCGCACCTCTCACTGCTCTCACTGGCTCCTTCCTACCGCCCCATACTATCCCCTTTCCAGGTGGGAGAGTGCTCTGCAGTGTGCTGGCGACCCAACTTCGAGACTCTCATGTATCCCTCCTACTGCCCTCCCAACTTCCCTCCTTACTGACTGCTCTCCGCTGCTTCTTTGTTCCACCCTTTTTGCTCCCCTCAAACTATCTCCCTGTCAGGTGGGAGAGTGCTCTGCGGTGTGCTGGCGACCCAACTTGGAGACCCTCATGTACCCCTGCTGCCCTCAATACTGACTGCCCTACGGGCCACCTTCCTTCTGCCTCTCCTTTGCCCCCCTCCTCTTCCTTCCACTCTCTTTCCCTGTCAGGTGGGAGAGTGCTCTGCAGTGTGGTGGCGACCCAACTTCGAGACCCTCATGTATCCTTACTGCCCTCCGCACATCACCAAGCCCAAGGTAGGGTGCTGCATGGCGATCAAAGGTCAGTCTGGTTGGTAAATGGCGCGCAAAGGCTGGTGAGAACACTCGCAGTTGGCACTGATTGTTGGCACTGATTGTTGGCACTGATTGTTGGCACTGATTGTTGGCACTGATTGTGCTTTTTCCCCGTGATAGGCCGAAACATGTTTGTCCCTGTTTTACTCTACTGCTAAGAATTTGGGTTCTGAGATCGTTTTGAGCACTTAGTGGTACACAGAGCGGAAATCTACTGCTGTTTTTTCCTTTGCTTTAAGCCTCCTGCACGCACGCAGCTCACTGAGCTATGTCTGGATCTCGCGTTGGTAAATGGTGCGCAAAGGCTGGTGAGATCACTCGCAGTTCTAGAGATATGGTGTTTCAGGTGCCGCTAAGGTAACTTTGAGACCCTCATGTATCCCTCATGTATCCCTCATGTATCCCTCATGTATCCCTCATGTATCCCTCATGTATCCCTCATGTATCCCTCATGTATCCCTCATGTATCCCTCATGTATCCCTCATGTATCCCTCATGTATCCCTCATGTATCCCTCATGTATCCCTCATGTATCCCTCATGTATCCCTCATGTATCCCTCATGTATCCCTCATGTATCCCTCATGTATCCCTCATGTATCCCTCATGTATCCCTCATGTATCCCTCATGTATCCCTCATGTATCCCTCATGTATCCCTCATGTATCCCTCATGTATCCCTCATGTATCCCTCATGTATCCCTCATGTATCCCTCATGTATCCCTACTGCCCTCCGCACATCACCAAGCCCAAGGCCAGTTGGTGCATGGCGTGCCAAGGTTGGTTGATCGAAACATACGTGGGAGGGAGATATGTTGCAGTGTGTGCTTTTTGAGAATTTCCAAAAAACACACAAAGTTGGTGCATGGCGTGCCAAGGTTTGTTGATTGAAACATGCTACAACAGTACGTATTTGTGTTGGGGAATGGTATTTGAGGCACCACTGAGGTAACTTCGAGACCCTCATGTAACCCTACTGCCCTCCGCACATCACCAAGCCCAAGGCCAGTTGGTGCATGGCGTGCCAAGGTTGGTTGATCGAAACATACGTGGGAGGGAGATATGTTGCAGTGTGTGCTTTTTGAGAATTTCCAAAAAACACACAAAGTTGGTGCATGGTGTGCCAAGGTTTGTTGATTGAAACATGCTACAACAGTACGTATTTGTGTTGGGGAATGGTATTTGAGGCACCACTGAGGTAACTTCGAGACCCTCATGTAACCCTACTGCCCTCCGCACATCACCAAGCCCAAGGCCAGTTGGTGCATGGCGTGCCAAGGTTGGTTGATCGAAACATACGTGGGAGGGAGATATGTTGCAGTGTGTGCTTTTTGAGAATTTCCAAAAAACACACAAAGTTGGTGCATGGCGTGCCAAGGTTTGTTGATTGAAACATGCTACAACAGTACGTATTTGTGTTGGGGAATGGTATTTGAGGCACCACTGAGGTAACTTCGAGACCCTCATGTAACCCTACTGCCCTCCGCACATCACCAAGCCCAAGATAGGTTGGTTCGTGGCATGGTAAGGTTAGGGCCTTGCCCTATTGCCATGCTCCATGTGCCATGCTCCATGTGCCATGCTCCATGTGCCATGCCCCATGTGCCATGCTCCATGTGTCATGCTCCATGTGCCATGCCCCATGTGCCATGCTCCATGTGCCATGCTCCATGTGCCATGCTCCATGTGCCATGCCCCATGTGCCATGCTCCATGTGCCATGCTCCATGTGCCATGCTCCATGTGCCATGCTCCATGTGCCATGCTCCATGTGCCATGCTCCATGCTCGTTTTGCTCCATGTGCCATGCTCCATGTGCCATGCTCCATGTGTCATGCTCCATGTGCCATGCCCCATGTGCCATGCTCCATGTGCCATGCTCCATGTGCCATGCTCCATGTGCCATGCCCCATGTGCCATGCTCCATGTGCCATGCTCCATGTGCCATGCTCCATGTGCCATGCTCCATGTGCCATGCTCCATTCCATGTGCCATGCTCCATGTGCCATGCTCCATGTGCCATGCTCCATTCCATGTGCCATGCTCTATGTGCCATGCCCCATGTAGCATTTGCTAAGTACCATGCGTCTTCTTTCCTCTTCACTCCCCTTCACTCCCCTTTACTCCCCTTCACTCCCATCCACTCCTCTCCACCACTCTTCACCGCTCTTTACTCCTCCTCCCAACAGGAAATGGAGAAGCTCTTTGTGGTTCCCCTCACTGAGCGCCAGTACTTTGGAGTTCCCAAGAATCTCAAGCTGCCCTTTCAGCTCACTCCCCTCGACTCCCCTTCACTCCTTTCGACTCCTCTTGACAACTCACTCACTCCTCTCCACTCATCCCCAACAGGAAATGAAGAAGCTGTTTGTGGTTCCTCTAACAGAGCGCCAGTACTTTGGAGTTCCCAAGAATCTGAAGCTGCTGGCGGTGCCACTACTGGAGCTGTATGACAATGTGCAGGTGAGGGCAATTGACGGGTGAGATGGATGGATAGGTGTGTGTGTGTGTGTGTGTGTGTGTGTGTGTGCGTGCGTGCGTGCGTGCGTGCGTGCGTGCGTGCGTGCGTGCGTGCGTGCGTGCGTGCGTGCGTGCGTGCGTGCGTGAGTGAGTGGGGCAAGTTATGCACGAAACAACCCACTTGCTAAGAATCTGAAGCTGCTGGCGGTGCCACTACTGGAGCTGTATGACAATGTGCAGGTGAGGGGGATGGGTGAGGTGTTGTGGGGCGTGTGGGTGTGGGTGTGGGTGTGGGTGTGGGTGTGGGTGTGGGTGTGGGTGTGGGTGTGGGTGTGGGTGTGGGTGTGGGTGTGGGTGTGGGTGTGGGTGTGGGTGTGGGTGTGGGTGTGGGTGTGGGTGTGGGTGTGGGTGTGGGTGTGGGTGTGTGTGTGGGTGTGGGTGGGTGGGTGGGTGGGTGGGTGGGTGGGTGGGTGGGTGGGTGGGTGGGTGGGTGGGTGGGTGGGTGGGTGGGTGGGTGGGTGGGTGGGTGGGTGGGTGGGTGGGTGGGTGGGTGGGTGGGTGGGTGGGTGGGTGTGCAGGTAAGATGGTATGGGGATAAACATGTGTATGACATTAGCATCCCAAGCTGCTGGCGGTGGTGCCGCTGCGGGAGCTCTATGACAACGTACAGACAGGTGAGGGGGACGGATGGATGGGTGGGTGGGTGGGTGCAATTGCAAGAGCGTGTATTGAGAAGCAAGTGTGTGAGTAGGTGCGCAGGTGAGGGGTGTGCGTGGCAGGGTGACTGGGTGTGTGTGAGGGTGACTGGGTGTGTGTGAGGGTGACTGGGTGTGTGTGAGGGTGGGAATGTGGCTCAGGGAGGATGCAAGAGGTGTGACAGTGTATCATTGTGCCAGTGCTATCCTGCACTCACATTTACTTGTAAAGGGATTGGAGCTGCTGGCATTGGTGCTGTGCTATCAGAGTTGAGGGTGGGGATGTGGCTCCTGGTGGCTGCAAGAGGTGTGACAGTGTATCACTGTGCCAGCGCTCTTCCGATTCCCCCCTGCTTTCCCTTCCTCTCTTCCTTCTCCCTCAGCAATATGGCCCAGTCATCTCTGCCATCCGCCCTTCCTCACTCCCTCTGATATTCCAACTCTCACTCCCTCTTGTCATCCCCTCTGATTCAATCCATCATCCGCTCTCCATCCCTTCATCTGCCCCTCTCTCCTCTCAGCGATATGGCCCAGTCATCTCTGCCATTCCATTCCAACTCTCACTCCCTCTTGCCATCCCTCTGATTCAATCCACCATCCGCCCTCCATCCCTTCATCTACCCCTCTCTCCTCTCAGCGATATGGCCCAGTCATCTCTGCCATTCCATTCCAACTCTCACTCCCTCTTGCCACCCCTCTGATTCAATCCACCATCCGCCCTCCATCCCTTCATCTACCCCTCTCTCCTCTCAGCGATATGGCCCAGTCATCTCTGCCATTCCATTCCAACTCTCTCTCCCTCTTGCCATCCCTCTGATTCAATCCACCATCCGCCCTCCATCCCTTCATCTGCCCCTCTCTCCTCTCAGCGATATGGCCCAGTAATCTCTGCCATTCCATTCCAACTCTCACTCCCTCTTGCCATCCCTCTGACTCAATCCACCATCCGCCCTCCATCCCTTCATCTGCCCCTCTTCCCTTTCAGCGCTACGGCCCAGTCATCTCTGGCATTCATTCTGCACCTCTCACTCCCTCTTCCTTTCCCGGCAAATTCATTCCTTCGCACTCAATTCGCCGCCCCTATCCCCCTTCCTCTCTCTTCCTCTCTTTCTTCTCCCCCTCAGCGCTACGGTCCAGTCATCTCCGCCATCCCGTTGCAACTCTCGAGATTCACATTCAACCTCATTCACGACTCGTGATAACTTGTGATGACGCAGCTATGACTCAGCAGTGACATTTAGCTGACTCAGCAAGGGTTAGGGCCCATGAATTACGTCGTCGGTCGTCAGCAAGGGTACCCAACGACTACTATAAATCAATGATGACAAATGATGCCGAAAGTCAAGCAGGGACCTGTTCATGCTTCTGCCAAGACTTTGTCGTGCCTTAGCAAATTCTTCTTCGAACATTAGTTTACCGGTTAGTTTCTAAGATTGCGGTACCGTACTAATCATAGAGTGCCAGACAGGCATGACACATGGGGAAAATCATTCAATCCTTACTTCACACACTGTGCACCCCTCTGGGAACTCGCAACTACACTGTTCGCTTTGCACCTTAAGTCTCCAAAACTTTGCATTGCAGCAAGAAACAAGGCCAGATTCCTTTGAATGCGTTGAAGTCTTGAAGACTATGCTTGGGAATGGGAAGGTTACTCTATGAGCGTGTTCCTACGCCTCGTATCAAGCGAACCTCATATCAGCCTCACACTGAAAATTCCTCTAAACCCGAAATCCTTGGCTAGTTTTACCAGGCAAGTCTGATATGGGGTTGCCTGATACGAGGTGTAGGAACACGCCCTATGTTAACCAAAATGCAAAACCAGCCTGTCGCTGACCTACCATGATGAATAATTGATTAGTGGGTAAGGGTGAAGTTGAGTGGTCTGACAGTGTTTCACCCCGCTGAACACCAACCAAAGAACACGAGAAACAAGAGAATAACTTGTCAGAACATTATGTTTCTCTAGTCTGCAATGGGGTACTCTGTAGTGAGTACAACCCTGTTAGGGTTTGTTATATGTATCCAACTGCTTTCTAGTTCAATCATCCTTTCTCACTTATTTCTCTCGTCGATTCTCACATGGTATCAGAGCGATTTCGATCAAAGGGCCCACCACTAAAATTTTTTTTTTACCTGCCTGTCGCGCGCGTCGCGCCTGCCCTTAACGACCCTTAGCGGCCCCCCCCCTTTGCGGCCCGTTAGGCTCCCGTCGCGGCCCCCTTCGCGGCCCGTTAGGCCCGTCGCGGCCCCTTTCGCGGCCCCTTAGGCCCCCGTTGCGGCCCCTTCGCGGCCCGTTAGGCCCCCTTCGCGGCCCGTTAGGCCCGTCGCGGCCCCTTTTCGCGGCCCGTTAGGCCTCAGTCGCGGCCCCTTCGCGGCCAGTTAGGCCCCTTCGCGGCCCCCTTTACGCCCGGTAGCGGCCCCTTCGCGGCCCGTTAGGCCCGTCGCGGCCCCTTCGCGGCCCCCTTTACGCCCGGTAGCGGCCCCTTCGCGGCCCGTTAGGCCCGTCGCGGCCCCTTCGCGGCCTGTCCCGGACCTGCCCCGACCCCGGCCCTGCCCCGACCGTGTCGCGGCCCCTCGTCGCGGCCCACCGTCGCGGCCCCCTGTCGCAGGCCCCCGTCGCGGCCCCCCGTATTGGCCCCGTCCCGGCCCTGTCCCGGACCTGCCCCGACCCCGGCCCTGCCCCGACCCTGTCGCGGCCCGTTAGGTCCGTCGCGGCCCCCCCTTCGCGGCCCGTTAGGCCCCTTCGCGGCCCGTTAGGCCCCTTCGCGGCCCGCCCCGGCCCTTCCTCGGCCCCGTCCCGGCCCTGTCCCGGACCTGCCCCGACCCAGGCCCCGCCCTCATGCCGGTCGTGGCGCACCAGGGGCCCGTGCACCGCCCCCCCCCCCCTTTTCCCGTCGCCTTACGTGGCGACCCGGGGGGGGGGGGACCTGGGGGGGCGCGCGTCGCCCCTTCTTCCGCCTGCTCTGGCGCCCTGGGAGGCCGCGGGTCGGCCCCCGTACTCCTCCCCCCCCCCCCCCCTCAGGTCGCCTCACCAGGCGGCGGGAGGGGCGACCTGGTGGGGGGGGCCACGCGTCGGAGCAGCCGCCCCTGGTGCAGCCGCCCCTGGAGCAGCCGCCCCTGGTGCAGCCGCTCCTTGACCTCAGCAGCCGCCCCTGGCCCCTGGCCCCTGGAGCAGCCGCCCCCCCCCCCCTGCTGCGGGTACAGCAGTGGGGGGGGAGGGGATTTGCCATCCCCCCTGCTGCGGTTGCGGCAGTGGGGGGAGGGGACCTGCAGCACCAACCCCCCCCCCTCCTCTCTGCCCTTTTCTCCTCTCCCTCCCCCTGCTGCGGGTGCAGCAGTGGGGGGGAGGGGATCTGCCGTCCCCCTGGTGCGGATGCGGCAGTGGGGGGAGGGGACCTGCAGCACCTGCTGCGCCCTGCTGCCCTGTGCGCCCCGTGCGCCCTGCTGCCCTCTGCACGCGCCATGCACAGCACCCCCCCCCCCCCTCCCCCCCCCCCCCCCCCCGGCTGCGGGTACAGCAGTGGGGGGGAGGGGATTTGCCATCCCCCTGCTGCGGTTGCGGCAGTGGGGGGAGGGGACCTGCAGCACCAGCCCCCCCCCCCCCCTCCTCTCCGCCCCTTTTCTCCTTTCCCTCCCCCTGCTGTGGGTGCAGCAGTGGGGGGGAGGGGATCTGCCATCCCCCTGGTGCGGATGCGGCAGTGGGGGGAGGGGACCTGCAGCACCTGCCTGCCCCCCCCCCCCCCCCATCTCTCTGCTGCGGGTGCAGCAGTGGGGGAGGGTATGGGGGTGGCGGGTGTGGCCAACCCGCCGGCCCTGCTGCGCCCCGCGCGCCCTGCTGCCCTGTGCGCCCCGTGCGCCTGCTTCCCTGCTGCCCTGTGCGCCCCGTGCGCCCTGCTGCCCTGCTGCCCTGTGTGCCCCGTGCGCCCTGCTGCCCTGCTGCCCTGTGCGCCCCGTGCGCCCTGCTGCCCTCTGCAAGCGCCATGCACAGCACCCCCCCCCCCCCCCCCCCCCTCCTTCTCCTCCATCCCCTGCTGCAGGTGCAGCAGTGGGGGAGGGTATGGGGGTGGCGGGTGTGTGGCATCCCCTGCTCCTCCTCCTACTCCGTCTCCCACTGCTGCAGCTGCCGCTGAGGGGGGTGGGTGTGTGTGAGTCGACGGAGTGGTGCTAGGGGGTGGAGTGTGAGTGAACCTAGGGGTGCAGCAGGGGGTGTGTGAATGGGGGGTGCGGCAGTAGAGGGAGGTTGGGTGGAGGTAGCCGTCGTGTTGCTAGCAGTGCCAGTAGTCCGGAAGTGCGCTTCCGGTAGCCCAGTGATGCCGCTGCGCCAGTCGCCCGTGGGTCCGTTGCTCCTGCCGCTCGTCTTAGCCGCGGAGCCAGTTACCCCTGTAGTCCGGAGGTGTGCCTCCGGTAGCCACAGTGCGCGCCGCTCCTGTTGCCCGTGTGTCTGCAGCTTCCGCCGTTGCCTCCTCTCTCCTCTCCTATTAGTCCAGCCTCCTCCTCCTCGCTTGCCCTCTGTGATAGCCTCTAGCTTTGCTTATTTATTGTGAACTCTAAACTGTTACTTCTTGTACTTGTGCTCAGAATGTGTGGTGACATTGTGATCCACCCTGAGCTTGCTTTGCCTTGCTTCTTGTGCTGATCATATGAGAACATTTGATCAAGAATGGATGAACTATGAAATGAAGTGAGTACAAATATGAAACCCTAATTGGTTGTACCCCCTATGGGATACCCCACTATAGCCTACACAACAGCATAAGCTACAATGTTCTGACACACCCCCATAGGCAAAGTGGGGGAGAACAAGGGGTCACAAGACCAGTCAAGCAAAGCAAAGTAAAGCAAGCTCAGGGTGGATCACAAAGTCACCACACAGTCCGAGCACAGGGTCAAGGCCACACGGCCAGTTCACATGCAAGAGTACACACATATATATAAAGCTAGACAAGCAAGAGCAGGTATATATATATGTGAGAGTACAAGCAAGGTCAAGAGGAGAGCAAGTGAGGCAAGACGGGCACAAGACCCAGCTGAGTGCAGAAGCGCTGATGATCACAAGGCGGAAGTGCCTTGGTGAAGACATCAGCAGTGTTGGCCTCAGAGGCCACGTACGCAAGCCACAACTGTCCACGTTGCTGTAGCTCACGAGCAAGGAAGTAGCGGAGAGCAATGTGCTTTGTTCTGTGCTCCAGTCGCTGCTCTCGACACAAGGCCAGCATGGCCTTGTTGTCTACGTACAGGACTGGAGGAGAACGAGGCGGCTCTCCAAGGTCGGTCAGCAGGTAGGTGAGCCAGCGAAGCTCCTGTGCAGCCATGGCCCCGGCGTAGATCTCAGCCTCACAACTCGAGCCAAGAACAGAAGACGAGCGAGTAGCCCGCCACGAAACAGAGCCGGAACCAAGGCTGAAGGTGTAACCCTGTGACGACCGCTGCGTAGCCTGGTCGTCAGCCCAAGAAGCGTCCGCGTGCCCAGTGAGGACCACTGGACTCCGCCCTCCAAGCACTAGCCCCATGCCCGACGTACTGCACAAGTAGCGCAACACCCTCTTCGCTGCAGCCATGTGCTCTGGTCTGTGTCTCCCAGGAGCAACATAGCGTGCAAGAATGCTAAGAGGGTATGCAAGGTCAGGTCGTGTGCAGGTCATCAGGTACATGAGGCAGCCAACAAGCTCTGGGTACGGGCCACTCGACTCTACGGACTCATCCGAAGGCAGAGCTGAGAGCGAGTGGCGAGTAGACAGAGGAGTGGCCTGAGGCGAGGAGTACGTGAAGCCGAAGCGCTGAAGGACCTGCTGCACCATGTGTGACTGAGTCAGGGTAATGGTGCGGCGTGCTCTGTCCCGGGTGATCTGCAAGCCAAGGTAGCTGCGCAGTTCACCCAGGTCTGTGCACGTGTGTCTCTTCTGCAGCTCGGACTTCACGTAGGCGAGTCCAGCAGTGTCAGCTGTGGCAAAGACCAAGTCGTCGACGTACACGAGGATGTAGAACGGCGGCAGAGAGGTGTCGGTGCGTAGAAATAGCGACGGGTCGGCAGTAGAAGGAGCAAACCCAAGAGCCGCAAGCGTAGTCCTCAGTGTGTCGTGCCACTCACGTGGCGCCTGGCGGAGACCGTAGACTGGACGCCGGAGACTCCACTGGGTACCAGGAGGGAAAGACCCAGTGAAGCCAGGTGGGCGACGCAGCCAGATCTCCTCGTGCAGGCTGCCCTGCAAGAAAGCTGTGCTGAAGTCAAGAGAGTGCAGCTCGTAGTCACGGTGAGCAGCAACGTGCAGCAGTACCCGAAGAGTGGTCATCTTCGGGGTGGGGGAGAAGGTCTGAAAGTAGTCAACTCCCTGCCGCCGACTGAAGCCACGAGCCACGTAACGCGCCTTGAAGACAGGCGGAGAACCCGGCGGCCGCTTCACCCTGAAGATCCACATGCCACTGACGATGTTCGCCCCAGGAGGGGGGACAGCGTCAACGTAGGTGCCTGTGGACTTCCAGGAAGCCATCTCTGCATCCATAGCTGCCTGCCACTGAGAGGAGTAGGGACCCTCTATCGCCTCCGCGTAAGAGCGCGGAGTCGGGATGTCAAGTGCATCCGGGTCTCCCTCAGGGGTAAGCAGTACGGACACGAGATGAGGTGAGGCAGCTGCCAGACACTGGAACTCCTCCTGCCTGTCCTCAAGGACGTCCGTGCCAAGGGCACACTCACCCCCGACGGACGGAGGACAGACAGACTCAGACTCAGCGACAAGACTAGCAGCGTAGTCTAAGCGACAGCGAGCAGCAAAGTCGACGAGCTCAGTAACGAGAGCAGACGCAGCAGTAGACTCGAAAGAAGGGTCAGTGACAACAGTAGCAAGGAGACGCGTGACAGTAGGACTGGCAGCACGAAGGGAGTCCGACTCCGGGTCAGGAAGAGCAGGAAGAGAGGACTCAGGAGGAGAAGGCAAAGGGGCACGCAGAGGAGCAGTGGACGGACGCAGAGACATCCGGTGCGTGCCAGGGACAGGAGGAGGACGCTGACGGGAACCGCGACCACTAGTGCGAGCAGTACGGACAGGCGACGCAGGGCGAGACGCAGGCTCACGACGCTCAGCCAGACCTCCAGTAGGACCAGTGTAGGGAGAAGGAGCAGGCAAAGGGTAGGTAGGCTGCAACTGTAGCTGGGACGAGACAGGCTGTGGACACTCTAAGGGAGGAGGAGGACCAGTAGAAGGTGGAAGACCAAGAACCTGCTGCAGGAGTGGAACGAAGTACGGTCGAGGCCGCGCGGCGACGCTAGAAGCAGCAGGGACAGCACCAGAACCCTCAGCAGGAGCACCCGCTCCAGCAGTACCACCAGTAGCTCCAGAACCTCCAGCAGCACCTGGAGCACCCCCAGCAGGACTGCCAGCGGTAGTCTCAGCGCCAACACCCTCAGCAGCACCAGCTCCAGTGCACCCAGGACGAGCACCTCCGGGACCCGCGACCGCAGCCCCCTCAGCAGCCGAATGACCTCCAGCACCAGCAGCACGCCTCCAGCGCCGGGCAAACCACTCACGCAGCTCCTGTGGAGAAAGTGGCTCCCGGCGAGACGAAGCACTCGGAGAACCTCCAGGCGGAGCACCTCCAGGCTCAGCACCCCCAGGCGTAGCACCCCTAGGCTCAGCACCCCCAGACGTAGCACCCCTAGGCTCAGCACCCCCAGGCTCAGCACCCCTAGGCTGAGCACCCCCAGACTCAGCACCCCCAGGCTCAGCACCCCCAGGCTCAGCACCCCCAGGCTCAGCACCCCTAGGCTCAGCACCCCCAGACGTAGCACCCTCAGGCCCAGCACCCCTAGGCTCCGCACCCCCAGGCACAGCACCCCCAGCCTCAGCACCCTCAGCAGCACCAGAGTCACCAGTGACCTCGACAGGCTCGACTGCGTCTACCTGGGACACACCTGAAGGGGCAGGACCCTGAGGGGGGAGGGGGTCTACCTGGGGGGGACCTGGTACCAGGAAGAGTGGGGGTGGGGGGAGGGACGGAGTGCGGTAGGGGAAGAGGCGGTAGTAGGGGACCGACTCGTCAAACGTGACGTCCTGGGAGGACAGAACACGGCGAGAGGTGGGGTGGTAAAACTGCCACCCAGGCGCGTCAGGGGGGAACCCCAGGAAGACGCAAGGAGCAGCACGAGGGGATAGTTTGTCCGCAGACAGGTCGCGGACAAACGCCCGAGATCCCCAGACCCAGAACGCCGACGCATCGCCAACCTTCCCCGTCCACAGCAAGGCTGAGGAGAACTCTCCGCCTCTGTCCGAGTGCAGACGCAGAACAGGAAAGTCCGAGCCGAAGCTCTGCCTGAGCTGGAGACGAGCTGCGCGGATCCAGTCGATCAGCACCTCAGTGACATCACCCTTGCTGCGCAAGGGGAAGACTGTGGTGTAACGCGAGTAGTCGTCAACAACGAGCAGGAAGTAGCGCTCGTGACCCTGTCCACGGACGCGGGCTGGGCCCCACACATCCATGTGAAGTGTCTGCAACGGGGCCTCTGTCGGAGGGAACTGGGAGGAGTGAGGGGCAGCACGCTGGCGCCCCTCGACACAGGGGACACAGGCAGGGCCAGGGCCCTGAGGAAGGGGAGGGAGGGACCGGGGGAGACCGGACACAAGAAGACGGGAGGCCATACCTCTGAGCCGAAGCAGAGAGGGGTGGCCAAGGCGGTGGTGCCAGAGGAGAGTCTCGTGAGACAGGAGACGACACGAACAGGGGGCAGACTCAGGACCAGACCTGGACGCCGCAGCAAACACCTGACCCGACGTAGCTACCCTACCAGACTCAGCAACTGGAGGAGACGCAGTGGTCAGAGTGTACAGGCTCGACCCCGGCTGACGAGTAAACGTAGCCAGGTGTCGGCCTGTGCTAGCCTCTGTACAGTGCGTCACCCGCTGACGCGCAGGAGTGAACTGGTGTACACCCGCATCCTGGAGGTCAGCACCACTCACCAGGTTCGTAGAGAACGAGGGGAGGTAGAGACCAGACAGGGTGCCAGAGGGAGCCGCCGGACACGGGAGGACTGTGGAGAAGCGAGACAGGACAGGACCCCCAGAGGGGTCAGCCAGAGACACTGCAACCGGCCGACTCAGCGGTGTGAGTGTGGTGCAGTCCCGAAAGAAGGAGCGAGACGCCCCAGAGTCAAGGGTGAA